TTTCCTTTGTCAATAATTGAGCTGCAAACCCAATATTAATAGCTGTTTCTAACTTATCACCTGTCAAAACCCAAATTTTAATTCCCGCACTTCGAAGGCTTGCTATACAGTCTGGAACGCCCTCTTGAAGTTTATCTTCAATTGCAGTAGCACCCAAGAGGATAAGTTCCCTTTCGATTTCATCGGAACAGGCGTCAATTTTCGAAGAACGATCTTGAATGGCGGTCGACGCTTCTTGATATCTTGTTGCCCAAGAATTATAATAGGACTCATTCAATACTCTATATGCCAAAGTCAATGTCCTGAGACCTTAAAAATTACAAATAACTTTATGAATGAATAATCATTCTATTTAAGTGGTAAAGTATGTGCATAGGGATGGTCAAATGTCCTGTTCCCGATCTGAAACTAAGTTCAAATAAAATCATGTGAAGGTTGAATTCGAGCTCTAAACTCAAGTTTCGAACCTATTTGCGCAAATGCATGTACATATGTGTGCATGTATAATTTTAGCATAATAGCTGTAGTACTATTATAGAAAAAATTAAAGTCCCGACTTAAAAACAATAAGCTGTTTAAGATTTAATCCTTTGGAACTAGGATCGAACAGTCAATCAAATCCTTAAATAAATCGTTTCAGGACCCGGTCTTTTGGAACTATTTTCCATCCCTAATTGCGTATACCAATAGATAAACTTACCATCATTAGAAAATTCATCAATATCAGCTGAAGTCTTTTCAATCAATTGTTCTTGACCACTTGCTAAACGTTCAAAGATAATGTTATCTGCGCCCTTACAAAATAGTACTATACCACCACCTAGTGGTTCAGGACGACGAACTATTATACTCATTCTTTTACGTGAGGAATTAAATTCCAAAACATTTAATATATCAAAAACATATTCTTGACCAAAAATGTCAACAGTCATTGATTCAGCTGTTCGACCCAAAAAGGCGAATCCAACATTTTTTGCGGCAGAAACTAAAGCAGCTTCGTCAGGAGATTCAGCTTTATATACAAGGTCATGTACCAATGTTTTATCAATTGCAATAGATTTTTTCCCTTTTTTTGCTGAAGGAGCTACTAAACTTGCCACTGACTCGAACCCTTTAAAGGACGATTTAATATTTGAAATCGAATTTTTGACTTTTTTTAGAGTAAAAGGTGAATTATTTGGCGAAAGCTTTTCTTCAACTGCCGGATTTAAATTAGGATTATTTGTTTGATCTGATTGTATATCATCTACGGATGTTTTGCCTTTGTCGCTAATACTCTTGTCACTATCAGATTCATTAGTAATATTATCTAAAACTACTGTGTGACATACCGCCAATAAAGTGAAAAACTCTCTGACAAGTCGGGCTCTTTTTTGCTTATCTAAATTATCATCAATATTAAATTCGCCATCCTCATCTTCAATAGTTTTATCAGCACGTAAATCTCTATATATATCTGGGTCCACGAATGTCAAAAAATCAGGATCAGTACTTGAATATTTGGGATCAAATGTACTTCTCAATTCATGTAAATAATGATTCCAAAGCTTATTTTTATTCATTGAAATTCCTTCGGCATCAGATTTATTATCGCCCAGTGCTATTTCTTTTCCAATACTAGCGTCCGTCTTACCAGCCCAACCATTTCGACCATACACTTTACCACCAATTGAACATTGGCGGAATTCCATTATATTACGTGTTAAAGTTCCAGTTTTATCAGAAAATATATATTCAATTTGACCAAGATCATCTGAAAGATTCCACTATGAATGATCAAAGTTGAAACATATGTAAATATTTACTAGGCATAAAAGTCCGAAGGACAGTGCATATAAATGATCTGCAATAATTAACCGACCAGAATTGAGAATTTGATAACACATTTAGGTTACTATTGCTCATAATGTCCTTCGGATAATTACTTAAAAAAAAAAAAATCTACAATAAATAATCAAATTAATCGCTTACTGATTTTGGAACACACGGGATCTCTGCATCCTTATCCCACATATCAAGATCATTGTAAATAAAAAAAGCCTATTTGATCAAAGCAAAATTCGTAAACAATTTTAATAAATTTAATAAATTTAACAAACATTCAATTAAATGAATTAAATGAAGCATACCTGAAAACCTTTTACAAATTCAATTGAAATATATAAAGAAATTGGAATTATATTTTGAAAAATAATCAGGCCTGAGCTGTATAATATGAAATGTAAGTTGTTTAAAAAGTTAAAATATCGAATTCATATCAAAATAAATTACAAAAACTTACAAAAAAGTTAGAAAAGATGCGAGCGGAATTGTCTGTTGAGAATTAGAAGTTACACGTTCTTCGATGCGGTTACCCCTTGCATTAAGCAAAAGTGCTGATGATACACCACTTCCAACAGCACAAATTGAGGCAAGAATGATGAGAATTACAAAGTTTAAAATAACCTAATTTTTTTCAACAGGGAAAGAAAAAAACAACGATCAAACGATGTAATATAAAGTTATTCAAAACAGGGAGCAATAAAGATGCAAACCAACCCTTTCAAATGCTTAAGTATAAACGTACTTCCTGATTCATTTCTTTTTCTATTCTACTTCTTTTACTTGGAGTTTCACCAGAATTAAGCATAATTTTAGTATCGATACCGGTAAAAACAGTTATAGCAATGATCCATTCAGTATTTCGAATAACATGAGCACGTAATAATAAATTATTTATATCAACAGGAATAGAGGTTTTCGACTTTATTCTAGGATTTTGACCTCTTTCAGAAGTGATTGAATTGAAGTCTTGTTCTTGTAACGGATCAATTTCGGGCGAAACGGAGACTAAGGTTAATTTTGCATTATAGCTGAAAAGATTAGAATTTGGGTTTTGACAGGTGATAAGTTAGAAACAGCTATTAATATTGGGTTTGCAGCTCAATTATTGACAAAGGAAA